GAACTGAACATAGTATGAAAATCACAAGATTATGTTCCAAGTTGTTTATGCTACTTCTCTGTAGCTTTTGTGGTTGGTGTTGGATTGATGGCTGATGCTAGATTTACTCTCTTTCTAACTGCACTGATGCATGTCAAATGTCAGTTTCTCTTCCTTTGATTTTTAAAGTGAAGCACACTGAATGGACTGACCTACCTGCTAAGGTCTTTGTCCACCAGCTTTTAGAAAGTCCATTAATTTTTTCAATAATATACCCCGAATGTCAAAGGCCAGAGCAACTGGTCCCTTCTTGTCAATATCCATTCGGCACAGCCTAGAGCTGAGAATGAAGGGGCATCAAAATCCCTTATAGCCAATATAATGCAAATATATCACTACTTTTAAAGTTCAGCACTTCTCTAGGGATATGGCATTGTTTGCATTGGTGTGGGCAGAAGGTAAGATGGAATGTACTGGTACATTTCTGGGTGGTTTGTGACAGGACAAGTAAGGACTCCCACCTCCTAGCTGTTGGAATAAGAACAACCATGACAATCTTAATTCATGTGCAATTCAGTTGCTGAAATGGAGACAGCTTGGCATAATCAGGAGGATTGGGCTCTTTTGTGAAAGGAGGATAGGTTCTGTTGAATCCCGGCATTGAAAATAGCCTTCTAGACTTGGAACATATCCAGTGGAATTGGGTTCTTTAAGTCTGAGTGTGTATCTTTTATCCCAGGCTCTGGCTGCTGAGGTTTAGGATTTTTAAAATGCCATAAATCCATTGAGCCCTGAAGTCAGTTTGATTCTGGTTAGTGGTGGTGGAGAAATGGCACTTCCTACATTTCTGTGAGGGATAGCAGGGAGCATTGGAAAGAAATGCAAGGGTGCTCATTCAAATTTCCAAACAGGCCACTGGTATAGCAGCACCCATTCATTGGAGGAGCATAATTTAGAATAGAAAGGGAGTATTACAGTGCAAGCTGTTTGACAGTGCTCATTTCCTCCACTTTGGAGGCAAAACAGTAAAATGATTAACACAGCTGTCTCATAGGACCCTCCCATAACATTCCCTTCTACAACACAACTTCTTATTCTTATCTGCTGAGTCACCAGGACCGATGTGTTAATTTTTAATGGGGGAGGGGGTGTCTCCACAAATAGATTTCATCTGTCTTTAATCTTTTTAGAACCAATGTTTTATTAATGTACTCATCACTTCATTATTCTGCTCTTCAGAGATGGGAAACCACGAACTGTCAACAGAAATGCTTGTGAGTACAATAGTGGTAATGAACCATGACAACTAACAGCAATGGAACTCCCAAGTTGCAATGGTTCATGTATGAGGAAAAGGCAGGCAAACAGAGAGCAACAATCACAGAAAAAGGTGGGAAAGAGCATATAAACAGTTGCTTTAAACATAAATTGAAAGCTTGCATGGGTAGTAGGGATGGTGGCTAGTGAGGGATATTGGGATGCATGACAGGGGATTAGAACACATTTGGTTCCTAGTTTTTTCTTTGCAGTTTGGGCTTTCCCCCGTGACTAAGGGCTTGTCTGCACTAGTCAAACCCTGGACTCACCTCAAATGAAAAAGCTGGTGGTCTTTATGATGCACAGCTACTTCAGGTGAGTATCTTGGGGTTTGGGGGTTTACACTGTCCTTTTTCCGCTTTGGGAAAATTCAGTGTGGACATTCTAGAACCGTGGTTACGAACCTTTAGTCTTTCAGATGTTTTGGACTGCAGCTCCTAGAAATCACAACCAGCTTAACAGCTGTTAGGAATTGTAGGGTCTGAAGTCCAAAGCACTTGGAGAACCAAAGGTTGGGAACCACTGTTTTAGAGTGTGCTGGAAATTCCAGCAGCTTCAGGGCAGTTTGCCAGCTATTTTAGGTGTGATTTGGCCTAATGCACTGTTCAAATGGGACACGAGTGTCATCATCTTTTTCTTGCTCTCATCAGTGCAGAGAAAGGGGATGGATTGTGGTCATGTTGCTGTTTTTTCTAGCTGGTCATGGAGCTAAATGTGAGCTCCTAGTCATTGTCAGTGTTTCTAATGACATCCAAATGAGGTGCCTGCATGACCAGTAAGAATGAGAGAGGCAACTCACCCCTTTTGCCTGGTCATGTGGGTGCCTCTGCCAGAGTCAGAATAGAGTATCTGTGAGGCGAAGGAGGAGGAAGAAAGATGATCTTCCTCCTTCATGCTGGTCATGTGGTTGACTGATTCTGATGTCAAGTGCGGCACTCATGATGGTCAGGAGCTCACATAGAACTCTATGGCCATCTAGCAGCTGTGGCAGTGATGCAGGCAAATTAAGATACATTCTGCTCCATCAGATTAGGCACAAACGTGCCAAATCCGAGGTTACTATAGGGTTAAAATGCCTGGTGTTTATGAGCCCTAAGAATGCTTTTTGATCTGCCTATGGCTTTTTACTCACTTTTCAAAAGAGAACTTGATAATTTTTTGGCTTTGTACTTAAGCTCTTAGACTAAGAGCATCTATTTGGATAGGACTCAGGCTCAAACTTATAGTTCATATTGCAGTAACTGTTTTCCCAGCTGTAATGTCAACAGTACATTTTGGAATGTAGAGTAATGTAAGAAGATTATAGAGTTCCTTGGCAGTGTCAAGATGGTTCAGATTTTCACAAATATTCCTTTCAAAATTCTAAATTATATATTTGGCTGCTTTTGTTTGTATAGATATTAGATAGCAAAGACTGGGTTGCCTGCTGGTGATACAAGTCTTTAGCCAGGTGTGTCTATGATACAGATTTTAGCATTTAATTATCCCAGTGAATCATGGCTAATGTTATTGAGGTTTAAGGCATGGCAGGGATTCTGGAGGCTTTTCAGCTCAATCAGCAAGCTACAATTCCTTCACTTTTGGAATAAACTCATGGCAATTAACTTGCTAGATTAGATTTTACACATATGTTGTGCTCTTTCACTAGAAGTAGTAATTGATATAACTGCTGTAGGGAGAGGTATCAAATAATTAAATTGTCTTGTCCTACTTTGCATACCTCTGACATACACCTCATTAGCATTGAAGTTTCTTAGTATCTCTTACCAGCATGTACGTGATCCAGGCAGAAAGTTGCCTGTGCCATCTAGTAGTAGAGAAATAATCCTATCTGATATGAGAAACCTTGAATTGATCATATGGTCTTCTCACCTGATTGCTGGTTTCTGGAAGCTCCTTCGAAAATTTAGATGCTCCTTGAATCATTTAAGATTTTGTACTCAAAGAGTTAATTGGAGATAAAAAAATAAGATGGAATTCCATTTCAACCTAGCTGATAAAAGTCTGCGATGGCTAGCTGAAATTAAATTACATAATCTTTGGGCATCAAGATAGAGCTTCATGTTGATACCCAATCACTAGGTACAGAGTAGTACCAAGGGTCTATCTATATGGGTAAAATTGAAAGACTAGCTTAAAGTCCTCAATTGCTCAAGGTGGAGGAAATCAGGCAGGAAAAAAATTCATTTGATCTGAACACCAGTAGTTATAAGCTGACCTCCAAAGTTTTCTTCAATGTTATGTATGGCAAAAGCATCACAGACTCACAGAATATACTCTTATAGCTGAATTACAACATAGTTACAGCAATCTCCTTCTCTCATAATTTACTTTCCTGTTCTTTGTCTAGCCACATTTGAAATCTATGTGATAATACATTCTTAAATGTTTTTGGCTACATTGACCACTTTGTAATGGGAAGAAAGGTCATGTCTAAGTGACCCAACTTGAAAACATGAGTTTTGTTTGGTTCAGTTTGTATTACTTCAGAGAAGAGACAGAGGAAAACGACTGCTCGTGTAAAATTTAAATAGTGGGAAAATTATGTTAAGACCTAACAAAGTGAAGGAAGGGTCTCAATTCCAGTAAAGCAGGGCCATCACTAATAAAAAAAACACACTCACTAAATAAAATATTCAAAAGATTATAAATGAAGTAGATTATTGTCAAAATTACAAAACCTAAAGAATAAGTCAACAACTATATTCATTATTTATTGAGAGTGTTTTCTTCATTACTTCCTTACTCATGCTAGAATCAAACAAACAGAAGCTGCATTTTTTTTTAAAAAAAAAACCAAATAACTTAAACCTGTCTACATGAAGAATTTTCTCCTATGCATGGTGAGCCCAAACTATTTGGAGGTGAAAGTATAGATGAATGCTTCATGAAATTGTATACTGGAGAAAAGTAGCTTCAATCTCTTTATGGGATTTTACACTTGAAAATGCATGAAAAAGTTGAAAAATGACATTTAAAACAAAACCTGAACAACAGTGATAGAAGGTTAGCTACTGCTGCTGCTTTCCTGAAGAAGAGATATATTGGAAATAGTGACTCATTTTACAGTGGACAATATCCCTCCCCCATTTTATTTTATATCCTGCTCTTCTCTGTGTGTTATGTCCTCCTGAATGCATGGTCCCTGCACACAGTGATCGGGGGGGGGGGGGGGCTTCCCCGTTTCTACAGGAAGCTGCTGTACTACTTTACTCCCTTTAGAATGCTTCACATGTATATACTAACATACATTAACAGGTCCAGGATAGGTCTGCTTTCATCTGCTCTGAAGTTGGGAGAGGTTGATACCACTTCTTTAAGCAGAAAAAAGGTTCCCAAACAACGCTCCATGGTGTAATCTTGAGAATTCACAAATATTCTTGTTAAGTTGACATTTCAACAGCCTATAACAACAAACTGCAGTAAAAGGGTATATCTTCAACACCCATCTTGATAAACAACTTGACTCTATGTTTCTTGGAATTGCTGGGATCACCACACTGGAAAACATCTATTCATCAGCAGCCTGCAGGATTATATATTAAAATCAGCCTCTTCGCCCACACCATGGTCTGTGCAAAAGGAGCAATTTCTTCCTTCCTTGGTAGCTTTCTCTTTTCTCTTTCCTAGAGATAATATTGTCTTTTGTCTAAGCAAGTCTGAGTTCCTTGACATTTCCATTTGGATGGTGGTGACTCACAAAATTTCCAAAGAGGATTATACAGTTTATTTTACATAGGAAAAAAAATTATGTTGAGCATGAAGAAGAGTCTTCTTTCATCCTGTAGAGAGGATGAGCCACGGCAGATGGACTCTGGATGTGATTTTTTTTATGCACAGTAGGTATCTGCCTTGACAACCTGACAGTACATGGTCATTGCAAATGTCAATCCAAGAATCTGTAGATACAAAAAGCATAATCAAGAAAAAACATACAAGGCAAACTTTATCACCTGTTTTAGATACTATCACACAAATGTAAGTAATATAGCTACAACAGAAAACACAATGTAGTAACATGAAAAGTTTCCTAAACTTGTGGATGTGTGCCAAATTCAAACAAATTAGAATGCTACAATTTCCACAATGTGTTTTTTCTATTTCTCAAATCAAAATTTCAATAGAAATGGAAAGGCTATAATGAAGAACTGCCTTGTGATCAGCAAAAACGAGATATGAATCAGTCTAGGATTACAACTCAACTCCAATTGTATTGGAAATTGTCAGGCAATATATAAACCTTCTTGAGATAAATGAATAAACCCCTGTCCTCCATGTTGTTATTGCCCCTTTAGGCCAGTAGTTCCCAACCTGTGATCCATGGACCACCAGTGGTTCTCAAGAACGAAAATATGGTCCTCAGCCTCACCATTACTACACTGTTGCCTTGAAACCATTGCGCAACGAGAGGGACTGGTGTCGCAAAACACTCTTATAGCGGCAAGACAACGGGGATGTCAGAAGGGGCGAGGCTGACTACCCACAAAAGACTGCTACTATCACATAAACTCTAGATTATTAAATATGGTTTTTTGCGGGCAAGCAGATGGTGACTACTGGATGGCATATGTTCTGTATCAGAAACTAGAGCTGATGTGGTCTATCCAGTGCAATTTTCTGAATCAGCACCCCAAATAACCCAATCAAATCTAAAGTTGACCAAAAACCGATTCATAACTCTTTTGGTACTAATGTTAGAGAGTGGTCTCTGGTCAAAGTGGCCCCTGGTTAAGAGGTCCCTAGTCAAAGTGGTTTAGACAGACAGCTGGTCAATTAAAATGTTCTAATTTGTTGTCTTCCAACTAATTGGATTTTTCTTGAAAGTAAAGTCACCAAATCATTTCACAGATGCATCCATTTTTATGGATTTTGGATGTTATCAGCTCCTATCAACTGTTGTTATGACAAATGTCAGAGCTCAGCAAACAACACAGGCCACGGGGAGATCACAGCTATAGTCAAGGTGGAGTTTATCAGGCTCACTAAAACAGATGAGAATACAGTTGAACCCTTAATTCTTATTTTACACCCACAGTTTCAGCAGTCATATGTAAGTAATATAGCTACAACAGAAAACACAATGTAATAACATGCAAAGGTGAGGTAAAAGCCAGTAACAGGCCATAAATCTTCCTCTGGCTTTAAATATTACTTCACTGAACACAACCACTTAATGATAAAACCACTGATGCAATCACTACTTGGTGATTTTCTTCATCTCACACTACTATGTCATGGGAATCTTAAGTCTGTTGTTAGTTCCAACTACATTAGACCTATTGAATCAATGAGAGATATTTATGTGCTTCCTCACATTTTAACAACTGATTCAGTAGATCTACTTTAACTGTGACTAGCCAATAGGATATAGGCCATAGGGTCCTAAATGCATTAAGAAGTTAAAATTAGCTGTTTATTCCTTTAAAATGAAGACACAAGTAGCTGGAAGGAGTTTATGAACATATATAAACAGGGGAAGAGGATTCAGTACTGATTGTATTATAAGTTTCAATGTAAAACTTGCCAGGACAATGTAGTTCTAACATTTTGAACATAAGCCACTGTAAAATTTATTTCTAAGACTAAAAAGAAATGTTTCATATGATTACACTCTGATATTATTACTCTAAATGTATCTGAGAGAGAAACAAAAACTCAGTTGCATTTAATGCTCCACTGCCCTTGTAAGATAATAACAGACTTGTAGATAATAAGAGACCAGAAGGTATTCAGATAATAAGATAAAATTCTACCTGAACCAAAGCTGTACACAATCCAAAAATTCCCACTGCTAACAGATTTTCTTGCAGCCACATTTTCACGGTTTCATAGCAAGGCTTCAAAAGAGAAAGAGAGAGGGAGAAGATTTATTTACTCAGGAACATGTTGATATATTAAAAGTCAAGAGGCACAACTAGACACTGAGATGCCAGATCAAACTGAGCAAACTGAGGTGTCCATTTCAAACTTTCACTGAAGATACAAAATATGCCTGGGGGGTAGCTGGCAGTAAAGTTTGCTCTTAAAGGCTCAGAAAGACACTACATCTGAAGGTCAAGTGAACAGATACTGTATGCAAGATGCAATAATAAAAAATAAATAAATGAAAAGCACTCTCTTTTGCTACTACCCTACTTTAGCCAATATGAATTAAGTACCTGGATGAGTCAATTGGATAGTGACTTGTAAATCTTCATGTACAGCTGCAAAATAAGAATGTGCAAAGCCACTTGTGCTAGCAAAACCAATGTCATTGCCAGATCAGCTTGCACTGCTTTTCGAGCATCCATGCAGAGCAGGATAACATTACAGTCTGGGATGATATGCTGGGCATGATGATGATATATCAAATCAATCATCTCCAAGTAGGATTGGATGACCCAGCACATTAAGAATATAGTTTGTTAGTTGTCATTTTTATAACAGAAGACTTTATTTTACTTTGAAAAGGAGCTCCTGCAACCTGCATTGGACAAGATCAAGGTCACCCAGTGAATTTCCTAGCAGCACATGGCTTTTGGTTTGGTCTTTCCAAACCCAGCACCCTGCCCACAAGCAAGACTGGGCAAGCACCTGGTCCTGTGAAACTATTTTTTTAAGAAAGGATAAAGTGAATTTTATTCTATAATTCAGCTTAACGTCCAAACAGAAATTTGATTGGCGCTGACCAGTGCTTGTTCTCTGAAGGTCCTTCCCAGCTGTGAGTATACAGAGTCCACAGTGATGATTTCTCTGCATGGAAAGGGCAAGCAATCATCACCTCCATTCTCAGCTCTTCTTCTTCCCTGCAGTTCACATGACTCTAGCAATCTGTTCTAAATTAAAAAGTAGATGAGTTCCACATATAATGGATAGGCAGTTGTTTATTCTTTTAAAATCCAATTGCATTTTGGCCTATAGAAGAAGCCTTCTTCAGGGGCATTCAACAGATATCTTGGAGTTGTAGAAAGCTTTTCCTTAATGGCTCATCCTTTTGGAGTATATTTACAATTCAGAGATTTCTACTGAATGGCTCTGAAGAACACTGCAATGTATTTGGCTTTTAAAAAGAATAAACAGTTGGCCATCAATTGTCATGTGAAGCTTGTTCCCTTTTTGTTTCCTACATTACAAGGAAATATCAAATTCAAAGTGTGATTATTTCCTCACTTGAATGAAAAGCAGGTGCTTGTGGGCAATAGCTATGTGTAAAAGTAGAATCCGGAAAAGATTCCTTCCTCAGATATAACATTCAAGACAAAGATCTATTCTGAAGAACACTCAGCTCAGTAGCAATTTACTGTTATATAAAAAATAACTTCTCCGGTTTCCATTTTTTAAAAAAACTTTTCAAAAAACTAAAACTGTTAAAAGGTCCATTGTTGTGATAACTGCCGAAGGAAATGGTGAAAAAGTCATGATAGACAGGAGCAGAAATCTTACATTAACCCTATGCCCTGATCCTCACTCATGTTTGTGTGCTCTTTTTGTGTTTTCTTTGCCCCTTTCTACCCTTTAAAAGTGAGCAGCTTATTTCCCATCTTGTTAGTGAAAAGGCTTTCCCTCTGGGTTATTTGTCAAACTATTGTCCACATTTATGATGAATGTGTCAAAATATTGTTAAGATAGATGCTAGGTCATGTCCTAGGATGAAACAACCAGCACCTGGCAAGACGACAACTTTTCTTTTTTCCTTTGTCCTGTGAAACCTCTCCAATTATAGAGCATCTTGGTTCAATGTAAGCTGTAAGTTCAACTACTCACAGCTTTCCACCAGGTCCCTGGAGAATGAAGACCACAATTCTCACTGAATTCCAAGCAGCATGAATCCGGGACACGTGTGGTATTGTACACTTCAAACCAGTCGGTATAGTTTGACACTCCACAGCATCTGAACTGGAAAGGGCACAACAAGCTAGGTTGAAAATATGAGCACACAAATTCATAAAACAAAAAGGAATTCATCTGCAAAGATGCTACTCCTCTACAGTTCATGGATATGAGAAAGAACTGCAAATAAGAATGAGGAAATTCATTTGCATTGAACAATATGTCTCCTGTATCTATAGGAGATAATTTCCTGAACTTAACATGCAACAGCAAACTATAAGTAATAACTCTATTGAAATGAATGGTTTCCACTGGAACTTACCAGTAGGGAACCTGGAAAATGATATGTTCAAGCAGAAGCATACTATAGAATTACCTGGAGGACTTTGATAATTCCTAGAGAGGACATATTTTGTGGACAGATGAAACTATCTATGGGTATGGCTCCCATGGTTACAAAGATCATATTATAGTTGCAAATTGCTCCCAGTCCCCAAAGTGGGTTTGGAGAATCAAGAGTGCAGATCCACCTGAAAAGACAGCCATGGCCCAGCTGAACCAACACTACACCAGCAGAAGCTTTGCCAAATCCACATCCATCCAAGCCTCAGGATGTTGGGAATTAGCAAATCCCTAAGAACACCTAGAAGATGTGCCTTAAGAAGAGGCCGGTGACTAAGGTGATGATTCTTTGAGTTAGGATTATATTATTCAAAAAGGAAATCAGTTAAGACAGGCCCCATCACTCTCCTCTTTTCAAAGGGACTTGAAGACCTGATGGTTTCATCAGGCCTTTGAAAATGATTAGTCTCAGTCCCTAGTCCCCCAGTCATCAGTTAGGGCCCGGTCTTGCACCTTACCCATTCCCCCGTTCCTCTTCCATCTTGGGGTACTAGCCCTGGTCCAGACCTTTCTTTATAATTGTTGGTAGGCCCTGGAAATGAGTAGCCCCAGGCCCTACCATGGCCTTTAATTAGTACCACTCCTTGCACTTTATCAATTTCCAGGCCTATATTACTACCACACAAGCCCTGGCCCAGCCTTTTCAAATTGTCGAAGCCCATTGAAAAATTGGCCATTGGTAACTTATTTTGCACAATAGAATAATGTTGGAAGTGGTTTGTTTTAATGTATAGGATTGTGTTAATAGTTTTATGTCTATGTTTTTAAATGTCTACTCTGTATATTTTTGTGTGCTTGCTTATGTGGAAACTGGCCTGAGTCCCTTAGGGCAGATAGAGCGGTATATAAATAAAGTTTTATATTATTATTATTATTATTATTATATTATTATTATTATTATTATTATTATTATTATTATTATGCCATGAGAAGTCCAGCCACCAGTTAACAGGGAACGGGGGGGGGGGAATAAACAAAAGCATATACCATAGTTGTTGAGCTCTGCAAACTTTCTAACAAAAGTAAACAACTAAAATTATGTCCATGGAAAAAAACAAGGAAAATAATTTTCTTTTTGCCATTTCTTGCACTTGTGATTTTCAAAATACAAAATTAAACCCATGACTCAGCAAATTGTTTCCTGTCAAACACTCAGTTGTCAGCACTGCAGAGTGCAATGATAGTATTTTGCAAATATGCTATTACCACAGGAAAAATGAGCAGCAAATGAAATGGTTGCTGCACTGAAACATGTTTTATTATATTTTTTAAAAGATGTGTGGCTTTTGAGTCGCATAGGCTCTGCCTTGAAATTGTCTTTGACATTTTGTAATATAGGTATTCATGATCTTGGAGCTGAGACTGCAGCCAAAAAACTTTTTCTGAGTATCACAGTAGTAAACTTTGATTTGTATCTCTTCCATTGTACCTACTCAGCATGTGGATGAAAATTTTAGTGCTTTGCAAAGCTGAGTGATTTATTGTCCCAGTTAAACAGTCAGAATATTTGCTTGAGGTGTTAAAGTACTTCCCTCTTTTACATACCACTACAAAGCTGCCACATAGCTCCTAATACTGGAGCTTGGGCAAGCAAATTCATTCATTACTTTCATGATATGCGGGCCGTGCTTCCAAACAATCCTCATTTAATTAACAGCATCCACTGTGCTTGCTTGGATGAGTTAATTCTCAGTTCTGCTACCACAACTCCCATGCTGGCCAGAAATCTTTAAATAATTAGTTATTAGTGGACCTAGTCATAGTCCAAGAGGCCCAATATTTGCTACTTTTAAGACTGAGAAAATGAGAAATAAATTAGGTTATATTTTATAATCCCAAACCACCTTTTCTAATATGGGGAAATTCAGTAAACCTAATTATGCCCTCCACTCTCTCTTGACATAGCTTCAGCCAAAAAAAGATGTATTGCTCATATGCCTGGAGCTCATATGCCTGGAGCTGCTTTTGGCTCCATGGATAGCTGGGAAGAGGATCAAGTGTCTGACAGGGCCTTCAAATATGTATTTATGAAGACAACCTCACTCCACAAAAGGCAGAGGAAGCTGAAGTTTAGACACATTGCCAAGTTTCATCATTTATTGGCTTGGGATGTGAACAATGATATCTCATAATGCTTGCCTCAAATGTGAAACAAATGTTATCTACCCATCCTATCCCCTGTTCTTCTGCAGCTCAGGATTTCAATCCAAAACAGATAAAAACTCAAGCTCCATACACTGACAAGTTTCCAAACCTTTCAGCAACTCATTTATTTCCTGCTGTAAATCACTCCTCCTCCTTCTTTCCTGGTACCTGGCACAGCTATGGCAGTAAGTCAAGCAACAAGAACAGTCTGGTTCTTTACGGCTTCGGGGGGATATCATGATGGGAAGGAGAAGCAAAAGAGGCTTATATATAGGAAAGAATGAGAGACCTTAGAACAGTGATTCCAAAACTAATCTTTCAGGTATTTGGGACTTCAACTCCGAGAAACCTCAGCTGCTTTGGCCTCCTTCTTTGGAGGCTTTTAAACACAGGATAGATGGACATCTGTCAGGGGTACTTTGGGAGGTTTGGGCTGGATGTCTCTTCCCTTATGATTCTATGGTTCTATAATTGTCAGGATATCTGGGATTTGAAGTCCAAAACACATGGAACACTAAAGTTTGGAAAATACTTTCCTAGAATCTAGGGCATGGTAGACAATTGCCTGGAGCCAGAGGGCATATTTTTGCTTCCAGGCTACATCCCTGAACAGCAAACTTAAATACACAGATTTTCCTCTGTATTCCCTCTCAAACTGATGATAAGAAGTGATATTATTATTATTATTATTATTATTATTATTATTATTATTATTATTATTATTTCCCACTTTATCTCCCCCAAAGGGGACTCGCAAAACATAACTAATTAATATAAAAGCATCATCATAACCATTTAAAATATATAAATATACAAACATTAAAACAGGATTAAATATAGGCAGTATTTTTAAAACTCCAAGTTAAAAACAATTAAAACAAATCCAAAATTAAAAGTCACACTCCCCCTGAAGACACAGGTCTGTAGTTTGGTGGTGGTGGTAGGGGGGGGGGGTCACCCTGGACTCAGCATTGAACCTGGAGGCCCAGGGTATAGGTGGTGGCCAAGAGGGCCTTTGCACAATTAAACTTGTGCACCAACTGCTCCTGTTCCTTGTGAAGCCAGATCTGGCCATGGTGGTACATGCCCTGAGTTAGATCCCATCTGGATTACTCTAATGCACTCTACATGGGGCTGTCTCTGAAGAGTGCTCAGAAACTTCAGCTAGGTTGTCTTCAGAGACAGCCCCATGTAGAGTGCGTTACAGTTCAATGCTGAGTCCAGGGTGACCCCCCCCCCCCAAACTATGGACCTGTGTCTTCAGGGGGAGTGTGACTCCATCCAGCATAGGCTGGATCCCTATTCCCTGATCTGCCTTACAACTGACCAGGAATACCTCTGTCTTGTCTGGATTAAGTTTTAATTTGCTTGCCCTCATCCAAATTGAGGGCAATGTTTAGGGGCGAGTGCTCTCGTGTATTTTTGCATAGTTGGGTGCTTTCTGTCCAGTTTGGAGAGGGAAAGTATTTTTAAAAAAACACAGGGAACTGGTAGGGAAGTTTAAGGGCCACTACACTGAGGTCCAAGGGTTGCATGTAGTCTACTTTCTGTAATTTGTTCACTCCATTCTAAGATGTATTGAAAAATAGAGGGACTAGACTCTGTGACAGGTGCAAGGGAATTTAATTTCCTTTAGAAAAGGTTGAGGCACTTCCAGTTATACTGAAAATATACTGAGGCAATATAAGATACATGAGTGGGCACCACTACTTGTCACATCACACTTTTATTTTATTTTGAAAACTATTCAAAGCCTGAGGACCTCTGCATTATACAGTCATAGTGTCATGATCCCACTTTAGCTGCCATGACAACACCTTGTTGAATTTGGGATTCTCAGTTTTGGAAAGGTCTTTTGGATTCTCAGCCACATTGCTCTAGTGCCTTTCCAAAAGACAAATACCAGGATTTCAACCTATGTTGCCATGATAGTTAAAGTGAACCATAGTGTTTTAGCTATGTAATGTGAAAAGTCCCAAAGCATAGCGCTTCATCAGGAAACAAAAGTATATCAATTCAATCTAATGTAAGAATGGGAGGAAAGGTGTGGTAGATTACCTATTGTTGCTGATCAACACTACAGTTGCTCAAATTGGGATTGATCATATGTGGGTGCAGGTGAATGTCTGGGAACTTGTGGCAAGGCAGAAAAGAACAAAGATTACAAGTGTCAGCTTTTGATCCCTACATCATTCTTCTTCAGGCTTGTTTATAAATTCACACAGAAAGATAAAAATAGGGAGATATAAGCCAAATCACAAAAGTATCCAAGAGAACTGGTGGTGTATGTTCCTCTTTGTAATAAAAGGCTAAAGGAAGTACATTTTACCACTTCATATGTTTCCTGAAACCTGCAACAAAACTTACTGTATTAACAAAAGAATGCTTGCTCAGAGGTGTAACAATTAGGCTTGGGTTATCAATGAAAAAAAATGTTTTTAAACTCATTTCGGATCTAAAGTCAATTCCTATTTTCAATGGAAAAAAAGTTCAAAACTTTTCAAAACATCCGATACTTCCGAATTCTTTGTTAATGGTTTGACGATATTATTTCCTGTTTCACTGGGTGGTCTTTACTTTGAAAGTAGTTGTTTTACTCCAGAAAGGGGGGGGGGGGAAAGGGAGGAAATTCATCCACTCTGGTTTAAAATGGTTTAAAAAGGGTGCTTGTGCTAATCACAGGGAGAAGGAGATGAGAGAGAGAGAGAGAGAGAGAGAGGAGGGAATTCTCTTTTCCTGGTTTGAAAATGCTTCTCAATAATAATAATAATAATAATAATAATAACAACAATAACAACAAACCCCCCTCTGCCTTCATGCAGGGAATACACAATTAAAGCACCCCTGACAGATGGCCATCCATTCTTAATAATAATAATAATAATAATAATAGTTTTAACCTCCTGGCCCAGGAAGTTTAGGCAGGCAGGAAGGCAGGCAGGTCTCTGTGAGTGCTGCACCCTCTGTGTCCTCCTTGCCCAGTGCAGGCCAGAGTGAGGAACGAGGTCAAAGGCGACCTTCGGGAGCAGCAAGCCCCAGCTGTGCCCAGAAAGGACAGAAGAAGCATGAGGAAGGAGGTGGGAAGCAGCAGAGGGTACACTCGCCAACTGCTTCACTCAGCCAGAGGCTTCCCAACGCTGGGAGAGAGGTACCCCTTGTTGGCAAGCCGCAGGGGAAAGGTGACTGCAGGAGGAGAGAGAGAGGAAATTCATCCGCTTAAGCTGAGGCCAGGGACCGGAAGTGGGGTAAACGCCGACTCACTTACTGATTCGTAAGAGAAATGGCATAAAAAGCTTCAGAAGGGCAAAGGGACTTCAGGTTTGCTTAAAAACTTCAAAATCGCTTCAAAAAGCAAATCTTTCTGAAGATTCCGAGGATTCTGACGGTACCTACCCATGCCTAGTAACAATATTTCAAAATCTGGCTCATAATTGTTTGGGGAAAAACAATCTTATAAATTAGTGTCTTACTATGATCACCTTAAATTGTAAGGGGTTCTATATTCTATTTTCTTCATGACCCATACTGAGCATGTTACTGATTTCTGTACCAACTTCCTTTAAATTGGATTAATATGCATGCTCTGCCTTATTCCCTTTCCTTTTTCTCCGAAGCTTCGTAAAATTAATGCCACCTCCTATTAGTCTGAAGCAATATGTCACAGCAGTTCAGGACTGGAAATGCTCATCCATGCAAATGCGCAAGGAGAAATTTGGCAGACAATTTATCTACTCAAGCTGGAAAGCGAACAAGCCATTGGGATTATGACAAACCTCTCCTATTGTGCTGAGGACAAAAAGAATATTTAAACACAAGGATTTCAGTGATTAATTGTAGTAAATCTGGACCAATTACAAACATCAAGGGAGGGCAAGAGAGGTTCAGGCAGACGCACAACTGCTGTGCCTTCTGCAAGGAATGCCTGTTGCTCTTCTAATTTTATTGTCAGCTTTAGTGTCTCAGGGTCAACAAGAGGAAGGAAGTTCTTGGAAGTTGCTAATTACAAATAAGTTAGATTAGCAATAGGTGAAGTAGGTAAGTTACAATTGTTGCAAAAAGGAATAATGTCATCATTTTGTACCCTAAGAAGTGTTTTTAGTTCCTTTGATAATATGTGTGAATACGTGTGAATGGTCCAGGGGCCTTGCACACCATAATTTCCATCTCCAGGGTTGCCATTGGCTGCTCCCTGATTTTTATTTTAATACAAGTGACCAGAAAGATAACACAATTTTTTCAGGTCAAATCCCATTTTATAGCTGCAGGCATGTATGGTCTTAATACCTAGGCATGATTTGTAGCACAAGACAATGGTTTAAAGAAGTCATTCTCAACCTTTCTAATGCCGTGACCACTCAATATAGTTCCTCATGTTGTGGTGAACCCCAACCATAAAATTATTTTCATTGCTACTTCATAACTGTAATTTTCCTATTGTTATGAATCATAATGTAACTCTCTGATATGCAGGATGTATTTTCATTCACTGGATCAAATTTGGCACCAATATATGATAAGCCCAAATTTGAATACTGGTGGGGCTGGGGCGGGGGTTGACTTTGCCATTTGGGAGTTGCTGAGATTTATAGTTCACCTACAATCAAAGAGCATTTCGAACTCCACCAACAATAGAACTGAAAGGATACTGGCACACAGAACTCCTGTGACCAACAGAAAATACTGAAAGGGTTTGGTGGGCACTGACCTTGAGTTTTGGAGTTGTAGTTCACCTACATCCAGAGAGTACTGTGGACTCAAAACAATAATGCATCTGGACCAACCTTGGCACAAATACTCATTATGCCCAAATGTGAACCCTGCTGTAGTTTGGGAAAAATAGACCTTGACATTTGGGAGTTGTAGTTGCTGGAATTTATAGTTCATCTATAATCAAAGAGCATTCTGAACTCCACAAATGATAGAATTGGACCAAACTTCCCACACAGAACCTCCACGACCAACAGAAAATACTGTGTTTTCTGATGATCTTTGGCGACCCCTCTGACACCCCCTCCCGACCCCCCCCCCCCAGGGGTCCTGATCCCCAGGTTGAGAAACTCTGGCTTAAAGGATCTTGATGTGTGTCCCTTAAAAAATGTAATCCCTAATCCTGCTGCTAGGGCAGGCAAATCAAATCAATTAGATTTGCTTGCCTGCTGACTCATCATTCAACAACTGATTCCATCCCAACTGCTATCCAATCTTGCAGTTGGGACTAACCAATAGGATTATTTTGCTGGGTGCTGGACTTGGAAATAATTACTTGGACCTGCACCTATAATTTCAAAGAATTTCTCAAACTCAGAGAATAACAAGGATGTGTTCATGCACAGGGGAGACTGTGGGAGTGGTTGGGAGAGAGCTCAGTTTCTGATTACTAGGTTCAGTATTGCTTTGAAGATTATATATGTGCATTTTGTTTTTTTTTAAAAAAAGCTGAAATCAGTAAAAACAGACTTACTGGGCTATATGCAAACAAAACAAGAATCCATTATTTTGAGCTTCATATCCAGAGACACTGTTATTGCAGGATAAACAGTATCACGATGTTAATGAGAATGCCTCCAGAACACTGTTCAGTAAAAGCCATGTCAACAGCAGAATAAACTATCCCCCTCTGAATTGTTCTTTTAAAAGAAGTCAGGGATAGTAACTATTTAAACTCTGTTTCTCTTAAGAGAATGGGTGATTTCCCTTTTCCACATGATTGCAAAATCTGTACCAGGGAGACCATGTTGAACAGATATGGCTAAGAAGGAACAGATAGAATCTAAACATGTAGATCAATCTCATTGTTTTGATGGGTCTGCCATAGTTTCTATATTAACATGATTTGTCTGTGATGTGGACAAGGACATGTGGACTAAGGGAACTGTAAAAAAGCAAGAAATGACACCCCATCTGTTTTCTGATGTAGGTGTCTGGCAGTATGTGTAATCAATCAATATACAGATAAGGAACAATGTTCCCTTTCATTACTTGAGGTATCTTTCAATGTGCCAGAGGCAAAGAGGAGAGTGACTTTTAATTGTTGGAGAGACCAAATAACTGGTTTCATATAGCAAACCATTGGTCTCCCCCAAATTATAATGGAAATGGCCCTGGACGTTTGTAATCACCCTCTGGTTGGAGCACTTTGCTTATCTTTGCTTAAATTATTTTGTAAACTAAAAATTGTTACCAAAAATAGGTCCGTTTAGCCCTGAGCTACTCAAAGTGATGATCCATGGACCAGTGCCAGCCTACATGTCGCCAGCCCTCCCTGGAAGGTTTCCAAGAAAGAAAGAAATAATTGGAGTCAGTGGGCTCAAATATGATGCCAGTCCCAGTCCCACTGGGAGGAGAGGAAAAACGGAGCAAAGCAACAACTGATGGCCTTTCACATCAGATAGCTTGAGAGGCATGGATTTAGCCTGCCTGCAGTTTACACAATGAAGAGCAGATTTCATGCCAGTGAGTTTGATGCAAAAACTTCAGGTGAATACCCTCTAAGCCCTTTCCAGTGCAGCTAAGGGAAAGGACTGTTTAGACACAGTCAGTCCATAGGTAAAGTCAGGGCCGTAGCCAGAAAATCTTTTGGGGGAGGGTTGAAAATTTTGGGGAGGGTTGAAAATTTCAGGGGGGGGGGGTTGAAAATTGTGTGGGGGGCTTGAAACCTGCCTCCTAGCTCACGCTGAAGCAATGAGCACAGCAGGGGGCAGAGCAGCCTTCAATAGCCTGCAGCTCCGCCCCTGTCAACCACCTCCACCAAGTCTGGCCTCCTTAATGAGAACATTCAATCCCCGCACCCCACTTGGTTGCTTCGCTACATCGGCTATTGCTGCAAGTAATAACAGTGTGAATAAATTGTCAATATTTGCTTGAGATAGTGCTTGTAGTTCTGGAGGGACTCTTAATTTTTTGCGTCTCATAGACTTAGCATGGGGATTTGGTTATCTAGTTAAAATTCATGAGTAAACCAGGGTTTTTTTAACCTGAAAAATTTCGGGGCGGGGAGGTTGAGCCAGGTTTTAGTCCAGATGCTAAATCTTGTTATGAAGAATAGGGTTCAAACACCTTTAATGTTTGGACTAAACGTTTGGAGTGGGTTCACATGGGAAGCATTCCCCACTATATTGCAAGTAGCACTTGGCAGCCCCAAAAACTTACTTTTCTAGAAATCCAGATGAAATCCTTTGCATTATGTTGCAAATGTTAAGCCAGACAGATGTATGTGCACTGATGGATAAAAGATGAAAAAAAAAACAATGAAAGGGTAAGCTTACATCTGTTTGTATGATGCTCCATGCATTAGTGAGGCCAATGTTTCCTTCAGTTTTATACAAATGAAGCCCTTTCTTCAGGTCCCGCTGAGCATACTTATCAATCTGGAAACAAAGCACATACAGTTGCATATAAGTATGCTAGACTTGAAATCGCCAAAATGATATTTTCAGCTGAATTTTCCCTAGGGAGCCATGATTATGATTGCACTGAAAGCGGGGTGTGCGTAACTACAGCAAAGAAAACCAATGTGTGTGAGCAAGATGTTTTTCCCCTGCTCTTGGAACTACTGCCCAGTGTAAGACATATGTAATGAGAAAGTAACTTGAGCAAAATATTGAAAATATTTCCAGAGGGCTAGTGCTATAAAAACAACAGTCTTCTCAGGTTTCAAGATCACATAAGGCTCTTTGTTGCCTCCATTTAACCAGTTCTTCCACACATTCACTCACAACAGTCATAGGTCAATTCTTCCTCTGTATCCATTATTATTATTATTATTATTATTATTATTATTATTATTATTATTATTATTATTATTACCCGCCTCTCCTCATTGCTCAAGGTGGGTTGCAACATTGCTTAAAACACATAAAACACATAATCATTTAAAAACATTCTGTAGAATACACATATTGTTTATAAGTTGGATGTTTGTGCAGGACCACCAGGTATAAATTCAATACATGAAGAATCAAATAACTCCCGGGATAAGGAGGCAAGTCTGCCATTTAAGAATCCAGTTAATTGATTGCAAAGACCATCTCATTTGGAAAATGAACTGTGGCATTTGAAATAAAAGGAGGGGGTTGCAAAACAACCATGAAATTGAAGGCATCTGTTAAGTTGTGCTACCCTGGAAATGAACACAGTTTTGAGATAGTTCTCAATGCTTGAGAAAACTGGGCTTTGTTTTAAGGAGCTGCTGATTTCCATGTAGAGTAAAGTGGAAGAAGCATATGTAGACTCAAAACCACAAAAAATGTCTAAGTGGCAAACATAAGGAAATGCAAAATGCCAAGGATGCTTTTCTGCAGTCTATTCTGCAAACCATTTGACACAACCACACAGCATAATTATCCCTCTAACTAGAATTCAGATGTTACCCTACTTAATGTAATTTCTGTGCCGTTTCAGATCAATAATTTTAATATCACCAAATCAACATTTATAGAATCCCAAAGAGTCTAGAAAAATACCTTTGTTAGCTGAGGTGTACCATGACACATTTTCTCATTTTACCGTAACAGATTGCTTAACCATGCATTTCTGCTCAACCCTGTACTATGTAAGAAAACCACTAATGTGCAACCTGTACAAATTAAACCCAGTACAGCAGTTATCTGGAAGCCCTTTGAACAGCAAGAGCCCCAAAATGCCATAAGGAGTGCCTGTAAATACTTAGGGACAGATTCAATGCATATCAACAACCCGTGAAGAAACTCAGCTGGTCCTACTCCCACTATATTCATAACAGAAACTAGGGAAAGATTAATGTGTTGCACCAATTATTTCTTTCAAATATAAGAAACAGGAAACATTCTAGTCACTGAGATGGTGTCTAATATCTAAGGATAATCAACATGTTATTTGTGCTATCTTTCTTATACGTTGCCTATTTCCCAAGATTGGGTCTGAAGGTAGTTCACATATCCTCATCCAACAAAACATGCTTTTTCTAGGAATTTTCTAATTTCTTCTGTCATTTTCCTGGATGGTACCATGGAGTCATGTTGCAAGATCTAGCCATTTTTGGCCCTCCAGGGTGACTCTGTGGTAAATTCTGGGAGAAGTTAACATCAATATTTTTTAGATATTATCCAGCTTCCTGTTTCCAGAGTAAGTTCAGGAATATATCCCAAGTGGAAAAGGTGAGTGTGTCATACTGTATAATGGAAAAAATATACAAAAAGTAAGCATTAAAACTGATGAAACTATTAACCACATTGAAAAAATTTAAAATATACACTTGGGTGTGCGTATAGAAATAACACAGTGCCCTCGTACAGCCTTTTCCTAAACGTGACACTAGGGTGCATTTTTAATTTCCAGGATACCTCAGTATTGGCAATTAAAGTGGTGTTAACTGCATTAATTCTAGAGCAGTGGTTGTCAACCTGAGGTCCCCAGGTTGACATCCACTGTTCTAGAGTGTAGAAATACCATGAATTACATGATATCTCTTCCACACAAAAATGTGAGAGCTACAATTGGTCTCAGAACACCAATAGGAGTATTGATATATCAGGATTTTGTTTGTTGTCCTTTAGCATCTCAGGACTTTTCGAAGCAAGCCCCTCACTCCTCCATTAGACCCCTATACCTACATTTATTTCCTTAATAGCATTGTGGCTATTGTCCAGCCTAGGTCTCAACCCCCTGGGATGAGTTGTTTAAACTTCTTTCTTGTCTTTTTGCTGAGTTCACCAAGAGCATTCCCATGGATTCTCACCTGTGGACAGTAATTTAAATTTCAGGCCCTGCTGCTCTCTACAGCGTCACTTTCCCTTCACCTGTTCTCCAATTACTGAGATCCCAAGCTGCAATTATTTTATACTGAAGGCAGCTGCCTAGGCAGTGTCTCAATATTGGTAAGTAAATATTTCTGACCTTTCTGATGATTGCTTCCCTCCTCCCGCTAACAAGGGAGAAGAAGCTGTAAAGAAATGACAAAATATCCAATTGTTTCCTACTGGGTGAAACTTCTAATTTCATGCCTTGATAATCATTCTCTACAGATAGTGCAGAGCTGGAAATTGAATGTAAATAGAGAGCACCTAATCTATAAGGTCATTTGCAGAAGTCTTGCTTCCTTCTGGGGAAAAGATGTGATTGATTGTACTACTAGACAAGTACAGCTTAATATTGGGGTGGGACATTACTCAGTATATGGGCTTGCCATGAAGGTGAAAGAACCAGAGCCTCATTTTCAGAAAGAGGCTGTGCCAAGCCCAGAACATGAAAATATTCCAAATGAATAACTGTCAAGAGAGAAACCAATATTTGACCAGTTGTTGAAGACTTTTGGAGGTGTCCAATTGCCTACTGAACCTAGGCTGAGTCATATAGCATAGGTTCTGCATCTCTTCTCTCACTCCCCACTCAGTCCTTTACTCTTCAAGACCATTTAACAACTCACCATTTTGGGGACACCTCCCCTACCCTGAAAATCTCAGTGAATATGTCATTGATCTGTGTCTGGCTGTAGGGATATAGCCAAATGTTTATCCCATGACCTTGCTCTCCACTGATCACAAAAAAGTTGTGGAGAGAGCGGCATTGCAATTAAAAGGTGTGTTTTGGAGATAATTTTGAGGACACACTACATGCCTGTTAAGAAACCAGAACATAACTTACTATGTCAAAAGAACTAACAAAAAAACCTGGGATGAACATGTCATTAGAGATAAAATTCCAATTAGTCACCACAAAGGATACACAAGGCAAAAGGAAATCAACAGGGAAAGTCATCATTTTCATTGTTAAACCCTAATGACCACTGTCCCATTTTAAATGAAGCAAAAGGGAAATACTGAGTATATAATCCTTAGCAGAAATTATCACTCGGCAAAGGAAAAACTGTTGGTTTATATAGAGATGAAAGACTTGGCCATATGCCCATGGAGCCATTCAGTAGAGCAATCTCAAGAGAATAACCTTTGTGTCAATTATTTGTATAATTCATTTAGCTAATTTAAAAGCAAATGACGGAAATATATGAATTATACAGTTTGAGAACTGAAAATATAGCACTCTCTTCTGATATACTTTGCAAACTGACCTAGTTCTGTAGTGGAATTTAAAGTACTCTGCTAAGTATTCCATCTCAATCATTACTTTGAACATAGATTTCATATACAACCTCATCTATGCTGCCAACCTTGTGTGATGAGAGGCATATATATACATATGTTCCTCAAGCCATGGATATAGTGGAACATTGTCAGGCAGCATTATGAAGATACTGACTTCCTGGCTGGCTGCCTGGCCAAATGTCACATACCAGTCAAAGTATGGGTGACATTATGTAACCTGAACCAACAGTTGCTCCTTTGAAGAGGTGACAGGCAAAGAAGAAGAGGGTCACATTACATATAGATTGGGCATGTCTGGACAATGTGTTCTAACCAAAAGGCTAAAGCCAGATAGAAACACAGCAGTCAATATCACAAAAAGCTAGACCTATTGGATTGCCACAAGTTTAAGTCCTACAATGTGAATGAAAAACAAGCCACACCAAGTGGGTTCGAAATGTAATTTGCATTGAGATTATAAATGAAATTGGAAATCATTATGCCATATAAATGTTACATATGTATCCTTTTCTTCCTTCCTCCTTCTAGACCAGTGGTTCTCAACTTGTGGGTCCCTGGATGTTTTGGCCTTCAACTCCCAGACATCCTAACAGCTGGTATACTGGCTGGATTTCTGGGAGTTTTAAGCCAAAATACTGAGGACCCATAGGTTGAGAACCACAGTTCTAGACTCACCAGAGTAAAGTCCCTAAAATTAACATCAAACTTCATCTTCATATGAAGTTAACATCAAACTTCATACGAAGGCATCTCCAGCCTAGATGAAAAGCCTCTGCCTACAAATGTAACAATAATTAGAATACAGCTAAGGTGGGGTTTTCTACACTCACACTGCTTTGGAAGTACGCAAATTGAAATAAAAAGCTCTTTAACACAATGAATATAAAATGTTTTTTATGTTTAAGGAACAATACTAAATGAACCAAATCAAAGGGGAGATCTATTGAAATGTTTACTGTAGTCACAGAAAGAGTAATTTCTCTCCATTGTGCAATCTATGAGTCTGATATGAAAACAAAACACAAATGAGAAATTCAACATATGCACCACCTGGTATTTCAACAGAAATTGATTTAATTTCTATGCTGATTCTATGAGGTTAGGGCAGGATAAATATTTTTCTCTTGAATATGTAAGTAAGAAAATCCATGGGTATTCAGAAGATTTGTGGGGTTATTTGCGGTGCTTTCTTACTACAGAATTGCTTGCCCTCATCATTTTTCTCATTTTTATTGATATGGATAAGCAACTGCTCATAGACAATACATCATACACATACAACCTTGTCA